ACAACCGCGAGATCGCCAACATAACGAAACGGCTTGAACAACTTTATCACCGCACCGCTTCGACACTGCCATTATTGGGTTTTTCTTAGACGGATTCGATCATATGAGAGCGCTAAATGCCCGGTCCCAAAGAGGGAGTCGTTCAAATGATGGAATCGATGCAGTGCATTAGTGGTGACACTCCGGCGCCACACGTTCCGCGTTTATTCGATGTTCAGGCGCTTCCTTGGACACGGTGGTAATATCTGCATGCAGGCTGTACTACTTTCGCAGCTCGGAAATGACTAAAAAACGGTGCTTCCCGCTCGCGACACCACGGCTCCGCCCAATGCCCAAAGCGTCGCGCAACTTTTATTCTGAAGTGCTACTCGGTGTGGTTTTCCGTCCTCTCCATCTCGAATGGTGAGCCCGTCCCACCATGCCCTCTTCGCCGTACGCGTACACTCGAAATCCCTGAGGTGTGGTGGGCGTGGCTGCGTACTTCAACTGAACTTGGCGGTAGCTGTGCTTTTGGTAAGACAATTCCATTTTGAGACAACTGCTGTCATGTCTCTATCAGGCTTTTAAGAAGATGACAGTTGTACCAAAGGGAAATATCCCACAAGTAACCCATCTGTTCCTATTCGAACGCCACGCCCACTCCGTCTCAGGGATAAGGAATGAACAAGCACGTTTCACTACGGGACTCACTCCCCTTTACCCAGAGCGCGCTTTCACGCCTCATATACAAGGCCCAAAAGCTCTGTCTTCTATATAATTCAAATCATGAGTAAATTTCAGGATACCCTGTATAACTACTAAGGAAAACCTCATTGCATACAACTGATTCCAACCGAATGAATTCAGAAGTAATCAAAAACTGCAGAACAATCGAGAACAGCTTGTACCTCTGCTTTTCTCCAGAAAGAATACCAGGTGTGTCGACGATGGTGACGCTCTCGAGTACTTGGTTATTAAGCGTAGAACATTGGAAGCGATTCAAGAAGGCATTGCCAAATCTGAAACGTCACAGGGAAATAACACAACAACAAACAGTAAACAGTAACCTTATCAAAAAATAAAATTCATTTAAAGACGAGAATCTTATGGAAGCGTAGCGTATGCCTCGCTGGATAGAAAAGCCGCCTAGCAAAACATAGATCCAAAAAGACAAAAGATTGCCTCGGGTTAGAAGAAGTCCCAATCTTCACACGGTCTTCTAAATTTTTTTCCTCAGCTCTGCGTCTCGCACAACTGAGCCCAACAGTAAGAGACCGGTTCCCAGTTCGAGCGCGAGAGCAAAGAACAATCTCGTAGGACCTCAGTGTAACTTTCTTCCCGATAACATGCTATAAAGATGGAGAAGCAGTTCATGATATTTAAAAGCTGTTATAGTCTGACACCTGCTATTTAACGCCGCCAGTGCGCGATCCGAAAGTTATCACAAGAATGCTGAGTTGTGGGCAAAAGTCGGACCACGGGCGGGATTCGAACCCGCATCTTCCGCTTTCCGTGCAGTTGCGTTCCCTATTACGCTACCGAGGCCACTTTTGACCCTCTCAGCTCAATGGCTATTTGTGCCATTGCCTTCGAGCACTCACACGTTCAACGTGATGAGCCGGTTAGCCGATATCGGCAGTGAACCGCAAGGCTGAAGGCTTTTACAAGTTTCAAGCTGTTATTGTTTAGATAACTGCTGTTTAACGCCGCAGTGCGCGATCCGAAAGCTATCACAAGAATGCTGAGGATACGCAGAGTAATATCCATTTATTTTTATCTTTTATTGTTTTTTTTTTTTTTTCTTTACATTTTTTTTGTGGGCAAAAGTCGGACCAGTTTATAAGACTTCTTTGATCAAGTCTTCAGCGACCCGAACAACAAGTGGACGAGTAGTGACGCCATGAACCTACTATAACCATCAAATCTGGCAATATTGGCCCAATCGGACACCCGTTATCTTTTTCACGCTGCATTTTGTTAAGTCTTCGTTAACAATTTAAGAAAATGCTCACACATATTTTTCTGGAGACCGTTCGCTGTAATAACAGCCTCGACAACCCTTAAATTACAAACTCAAGCATACTCAATATTACAAAGCCCAACAGCAGTTACTCAAAATAACTCACCAGGCTAACCCGTTTCTCAACAACAAAGTTGTTAAGTACTGTAATACAGTGCATGTAACACTAGTAATTGTTGACAACACACTTATAATGACGTCTTCCTGACAGCACTCCCTCGACTAAAAGTAACTGAAAATGCGAATAAATGTCACGGACATCTTATTCCCACTGAGGTCGAGTTAAAAGGGGAGCGCTGTCAGGGTAAGACCACCATTTGTTACAAAAGTGTTGTTAACCGTTTACCAGTATTGCAAGCATTGTTTTACAATACTTAAGAACGTTGTTATTTGAATGAGTGTTAACACTGTGAAACTCCAACGTTTATTGAAAACTCAAAATACACCATAAATCTAAAGTTTTTCAAAATCAGTGAGTTGCGATACCCCACACGGAGTGTTCCCCACCCAATCCACTTACCCTGCTGTCGCGAAATAGACAAACCCACGTTTACCATATCCTTAAATAATGGGATAGCCAATATATACTTAAGGGTATGTTAGGGTGGGTTGGCTATTCCGGAACACCAGGGTATGCAAGTGGATTGAGTGGGGAGCAGTCCGTGTGAGTTGTATTTGTATAGTACGCATGGTGTATAATAAAAATAAACTAGATAATTTCAGGCCTGACGAAGGTACTATGCACCAAAATATTTTTAACCACTTGATTTTGAAAAACTTTTTGAGACTTTTGGTGTCTTCTAAGTTTTTCTGAAATAAACATTGGAGTTCCACACTGCTAGTAAAATCGAGTATGTTTAATTTTGTAAGCTGGGCTCTGAGAAAGCTGTTACTGCAGCGAAAGCTCAAAAGTAGAATATATTTGAGCGAATCCTCAATTTTTGAAGAACTCACGATACATGCGGCCAAGTATAGTCCAACACTGACTGCATTTCGTGATGATAACACGTAATGGAGAGCTAGGAGCGCCAAAAAAAGAACTGTTGCTAGCGTTCTTGGTGACTGTCTGTGACACTACCAGCGAAATATAATAGTAAGCAGAATACTTTTAATCATATGCATCGCTACCTCCGTTCATCTCGGTCATTCAAAAAAACCGCATTCATATGCGACCCGGATTTGCGCCGTTAACACGACATGAGTACACGAGCCAAATTCAATTTTTGTCGTACGAAAAGAAAATGTATACCAGAAGGAAACTGCAATGGCTTGCCAAATAGTGAGCAAAGTTGTGGGAACGGAGACAAAGCTGATATTATTAACTGCCTCGCATAGAGTATTAAAATCAGAAAAAATGCTGTCCCCTGGTAGCGATTTCGTTTCCGGCCTATGGTAGTTCAATGAATAAAGAAAAAAAACCTAACCTTCCCCCACGCTCCTCATCTCCCACTAAAAACGCTGTCTGATAGAGCACCGTTTATGTGAGCGTCATTTCTGTTTTTCTTCAATTTCATGAAGGATGAGTTTTTTAGGCAATTCACTGCGAAATATTAACAATCTGCCGCCAAAAATTACATATTTGGAGCCAAAATGAAGGAGCAGCGAATCAAGGTCGTCTCGAGGTCAAATCAAGACGCATAATCGCTGTGAAAGTCGCGAGTTGGGGATGTCGTACTTGGTCGCTGGGATAGCCACCAAGTACGGCATCCCCAACTCGCGGTATTACTTCACCACGGCAGTGTTGGGGAAAACTTGTAATGTAGATAGGTAGCGAAACGGGTCGTGGTGGAGACCATTTGGAGACGGCGGGAGGGGGAATGGACCGAATTAGCAGAAATGCCCCACAGCGCAACGATGTGCCCAGTTCCAAACCCATGGTGTGACACAAACGAAGCTAAAAAGGAGCTCAGAGCTAGAACAGAGAAAAGGGATCTTCAATTTACTTCCCTGCACCTTATCCCCGAACTGTTCCGCCCTATGCATATTTTGCGAATGGTTCTTAATTATTTCCTGGAATAATTCCCACATTGGCGAGCTCATTAGGCGCAAAATAGTGCCACGCGGCGAGACTACTCCGCTACAACTCTGGTCGTCTGCGCTCACTTGAGGTCGATTATGGGGAAAAGAATGTATCACAGTTTCAGAGAGCGCAGACGAGCAGGCTTCGACACGCTGCCACTCCGCTGATCATGGTGGCACCTTTTGTGCTAAATAAAAAGAATAAGAAATATTATAAAAAAATGAATGAACGGGAAAATGCCCCCCCTATTTATACATCAATAACGATGTTTAGAAAAAGACTTACCCGCTCAAAGCTCTGAATTGTTTCTTTGCGTCAACTACTAAAGCGTTTCCAGGGATGACTCCTTCTTCTTCTCCGTGCATAACCGCAATGAATCTATCAGTAGTGGGTTCAGGACCGATACGAATGCCAGGAAAATCCTTAAAAGCAGTTTTAAATCAAAGCAAGATCCAAAACTAGTCTGAAAGAACGACTAGTACCTCTTCAAGGAGGTATCTGATGAAAGTTGTTTTACCAGTCGAATACTGTCCTACTAATAGGATCATTGGTTTGGCATCAAAGTCGGGATCATCTGAATTAGTTTGATGAAGAATGAATCACACATTGCGCGTTCATACTTTGCGTCAGCACTGAGCGTCTATCGGCGTTCTGAGCAAGGTATAGGAATCGATAAAGCCTTTCGAGAGAGCACCAGCGTTTTCAGCGAAAAACGATATTTATATTTTTATAGTTGCTCGACACGCTCAAAGCGCTGGTGCGTTGGATCGATAGCAATACTTTCGTGGTCGCTAAAACGCTCTTGCAAAACGAATGGAGCTGCGATTAACTAACCAAGAGCAGGCGAGTGGAACTCATGGAACTTATAATGTTCTTCCAATGGATACAATTTCTGCTTGTAAATTTTTCGTAGTCCTTCACTGACTGAATCTAGGACCTATAATGAGAAAAAATGAATCATTTTCGAAGCTAGCACGGACCAAATTTCATGAAATCTGTAACTTCATAACCTTGGGCAAAACTGAAAAAGGTGAGTTATGGAAATTGTAACTCACTTCCTTGGTCTTCTTCTTAGAAGAATCACCACCGAGCCAGCTAAACATGCTCCTTGGTTTTTTCTTCTTGGTGACCTCTTCTGAAACAAAATCGATGCAATCAACCTACACAGCACCAGCTCAACAACATCATTACTCTCAAACTCCAAGGAAATGTATTACATCACTCGCGGTACAACTGACACCTCGCTCATTAGAAAAAGCAAAAGCATGACTGCAATCTTTTACTAGCAAGCTACCTGCTTCAAAGTATCGCTGAAGATATATGTTTAGTGAGTGGGAAAGACTGAGGAAATGGAAAGCTAGGAATATAGGATTGTACAAACATAGTGCTTTGATTTGTCATACAGGAAAACAAGAGTTTTTTTAACAAAATCCAATTTTAAGCGTCGGGACTTGTCATTCAGCTTCAGTTCCATACACGCAGCTTTTCCTGTGCAGCGTCAAGAACACCAGTGGAATTAAAAAGCTTAAGCAGCCGTGTTCTAGAAAGAAGGCGAGTGTGGCCAGCAGCAAATCTGGGCCACGTCTCGGGTCATTTTACCATACACATCATAGCAGAAAGTTGTACTTTTCTTGTAACAGAAAATAACGTAGTTTGGATGGAGATCCCAGAATAGAATTTCGTTTCAAAACGACCGAAAATCGATAAGAATGGCAATCTACTGGAGTGGGGGACGGTTTTTTTTATTTTAGGGGGGGCGCGGCCACAATGCCGGCGGACTGGTCAAGGACGAGTTAGACGACAGCGGCGCCTAACAAATCGGGAATAAACTCGTTTCCGTTTTCTGTACTAGTGGGTTCTAACATAAGGCCACCAGGTTAATGTTGGCTTGTGCCTACATCCAGCTAAGAGCGCTGCTTAGTACACCAGTTGCCGGAAAGCCTAACAGTCGACTAGCTTCGCACCGCTGGTCGTTCCTAGGAAGAAGTTTCGTCGTATAGTCTAGTTCGCTGGCACGGTGCCAAACCCGTTCTCCATTAGTTGTTGAAGCGAGCAAGCAACACGACTGCATAATATCGTTCGTATCACTCGTTTTCTCAACTGGTTGTGCATACCTCCAAAGGCTGGCAGAGTAACAGTTTTTCGGTCGTGGCAGCACTCGAACTTCCTGACACACCCCTTTCATCCCGCTAGCGAATAGCGACTTATATTTTCAGTGCGCACGTTTGCGCCGTGAAATTCCGGAAGAACGATCACTTCGGAGTTTTCTCCTCTAGAACGACTCTCCCTTCCACATCACCCAACCTACCTACTATCTTGCTAAGTTCTCCCAACTTTCTACTATTTTCCCCTAAAACAAAAAAAAAACTGCAGGCGGACAGGAGGGGTTGGGGAAGAGAATATAGAGCGTACTTGGAACACGGAAAGCAGAGTAAACTCAACAAAAACATTTTCTAACGGCATTACGACTCCAATCGCTCTGCAACGTATTACGCGTCCTGCGTTTTGTGGAGAAGGCCGGGAGGGTAGAGGGTTTCTGTTCAGGCATTCTCTCGCTGTGAGGGTCTAAAGTTAATTTCTCACCGCGCCTTTGACCGAGCATCTGAAGGAAGAAGGAAAAGGAAGAGGGAACAGAGAAAGAAAAAATGAAAAGAAGGAACGAAGAAAAAAAAGTGAGATGCGGGCTTAAAAGTATCCTGAGCCTGTTAAGGAGAGGTGCCTTTTGGCGCGATCGTTGATGCCAGTGACAATTCATGAGACTTAATTGAACAAGTATAAAGATAGGCAACTCGTCCGAATCGCTAAACCTCAAAGTTTCATGATGGAGACGTACATAAAGCCGTATTTTAAAATTTATCGATAGATGGGGGTCACTTTAGGTCCAGAAAAAAGTGAATAACTTAACGACGCCAAATTATTCTGGTATTAAAAATTTATAGTAACGATATTTCCCCGCTGATAGTAACGGTATTTCCCACTGATGGACAACAAGAACGGCACGCATGCGTTTCGAAGACGACATTGGAGGGAACAAGCCGTAAGTGTGGAGACCTCGCTGACTCATGGAAAAGACACGCAAATCATGAAACATTCCGAGACCTTCATGAAGGTTCTCAGGTTTTCAGATGAAAATCAATAAAGAAAATGAAAATATGGAGCAAATAAGTGAAATAAAACCGCGCTGAGAGAGGAAAGTGAGCTGCAATGGCAATCGATTCGCTGTTTGAAACACAACAACGCAGGGAGAATGTCTGCACTTTCATAGCACTACTATTCAGAGAGCTCTAGAAGACAACTGAAATGTCGTCTGCTTTTGTCGTCGGGTGGACGCTGCCTGCGAACGACTACTGAGGGGACACCGATGGAAACCACACACTTTGCCTGAGAAATGACGGGCGAGGCGAGGCGGAAATCGGGGACGATGAATCGATGGCGAAGCGAGAATGAAACGGAGAGACTAGAAGTCATTGTTAGCCACGACACACACACACCCAAAACCACAAAAAAAACAGAGAATTTTATTGATTCTCCTTATACAACTCCCACAAGAAGTACTTCCATGAATATTCCAGGCAACAAAATAAAGTAAATGAAGAGTAATTTAAAAAATGAGAGAAAGACTTTCACAACACGAAATTATGGCGACTGGCGCCAATTTCTAGTATGGTTCTCCGTGGTCGAAGAGAATGGAGACACGCCGCATAAAGGTGAAGAAAAAAAGCACCGAAAATCCGCCCAAAATGCTACAGAACTCCATGCTGAACCACGCTTGTACGGTCGTCATGCGAAGAAAGGGCGTGGTTGGACGAGTTTTCACTTGTTGGAGCCAACTTTTCGCTTGTCACCGCACAATCACCGCGAGAGAGCCAATAACAAATCAGTCGCTCCACCTCGATGCCTTATCAATGGAAAACTGGGTGTTTACTGGGCCAAAGGGTGGAAGATGAGGGGAAGGGCCTCGCTCTTAGCGGTTTCGCGCTTTTCTCACGTATTTTCGAGCGTGTAAATAGTATCCTCCTTATCCTTAATAAATGCTCGAGACTGTTGGCGACTATATGTCGTGAGCCAAAGAAATTTCTGAAGCAAAGCGATACGTGTCGTGTATTACGTCATCAGGTGAAGGAAAGACAAAACAGTTTAAAACGCCCCTAGTTAAGAATGGGGCAATAGTAACGGCAAGTGGAACGCACGGCCGAATAAACATTGAATAAGGAAAATTAAACGACAGGCAAGGTAGGGAGAATTCCGGACGAGCAAAGTACCGCATCGCCATGTGGGATTTTTGCGAAAAGGACGTGATGGTGACCTACTTGGGCGGGGCAAACCTTCGCTGTACCTTCTAGAGCCTGTGGCCTCACTTTTTCAAGTGCGATAATGGGATACGCCCTACGGCGACTGCAGGACCACGGCTACTCACACAAGATTTTTCTGCACAGGATTTGCATTAGATAGCTAGTTCGTGGGACTGGAAGATTCTGCACAGAAGATCATAGCCGCGACTGTGCCTGCATAGAAAGGAAACTTCAGATGGAAGTCATAAAGAGTAGGATTATCTTCCCTATAACAAGATGTTTAGAGTACGCATTACTCAACATGATTAAAAGACTAGACTATCAAGCTCACTATGAGGAAAAAGATAAAAAGGAAGAAGCGATTTAACTTCTGTTCGACCAAACCTTGAATTTTTGAAACCCCTCAGCTAAACTATACCCCAGTGAAAATGGACACCCCCCCCATCAGCACAATAACGCACTCGGCGCTATCCAACGTGCCACCAAGACGATAATGCTTGAAGTTTTTTGATACGCATGTCAGAGTAGAAATCCGGGGCTCAAGCTTCTTGCGGCATTGGAGCGCTTTGCTGTCATTGCCGAGACATTTGAGCCCGTCAAGGGATTTTGCAGAGTGTAAAAGAAAAAGTTTGTCGTGCACATAGATCGAAGCAGGATTTCGGAAACACACGGGGCAAAATGGAGACGTATGCACACCGCCTTGCCCTCAATGATACCAAACGGGGCACATGTGACTCGATGCCGAACCTATTACGTTGTGTTTTCTCTGTCGCATTCGGAATAGACCTGCTGTGGAAGGTCACGGGACAATGTACTCTCTTGAAGAGGCAATGGAAGTTTTAGACCCTCAGAAACTTTATCACAGTTGTTGGACAACCTTCACTGCGATATCTCTCACCCCCCCCCCCGCCCCGCTCTAAAAAAAGTACTTGCATAGACTTAGCAGCATCCAGAGAAAAGAAGTCAGAAAACGTTTCACAAATCAAACGGGTGTCATGTGATACCAATTCTTAACACCTTTGAAAGTTTGCCACACGCAATCCTACCTACCCAGGAAGGGACTAAATGCAGGCGTTTGAAAAGCAACCACTCCACTACGCTTTCTATCGCTCCCTAGTTCAGTTAAGTGATGTTTCAGTAATGGGGAGCATGTTAACAGTCTCAAACCTAGGAGATGGAGAGAGCGTGGCTACATTCTTCACTTGAACATGGCGTTGTAACCGTTTATCGTGGAATATTTCGTTATTTGGAACAAGCTATCATCCGAATCCTGTGGTGACCAATGACAATGGATTAAAGTTTCACAAAACCCAGTATCCCACCAAAAGCCGGAACTGCCAACCGTTTGAAACGAGTACGCAGCCATGCACTTCCTCAATTTTTGATGCATATTGCACTGGCGTTTCACGCTGAGTTTTCTCACCATCGACTTCCGCACAAGCGGAAGTTTTTTCACCCTTCTAGTAGGCTCCCAGGTGCGGAGCTCCCCTATCTGCTCCATGATGTTCCCTCACCAGAAGCGCCTTCATTTCTTTATAGAAGCTCTAATAACTGCGGCATTGGTCATGGAGACCATTTCGTTGTTTATACTTTCCACAGTTTCTCATACTTGGAAGTTCCAAAAAACAGGACAAAGCGACAAAGTAGCTTTACCGAAACCACGTTCCACCTGGTAATTTTTCTGTCATGGAACGCCGAGAAGCTGAAGAAGCCAGATAATTGACAAAGAGAACTTCTACAAGGGGCAGAACAGTGGATTCTTCAATGGTCAGTTAGAGCAAGACAAGAAGAATACGGTTTCACAATGCATGGGGATTCCTGTCATCTCGCATTATACACCGCGTAAACCGCATGAGCGCAAGGGCCTATATATGGGAAGAGAACCGACACAAGGCCATTCAAAAGATCAGTTCCGAACAATTAGCCACTCAACTTGCTCTTATGCGAACTTCTAGAA